AGCAACATATGGATTTTCTTCTTATAACAATGCTGCTTATACTTTGCCTCCTAAACTAATTGTTATTTTAATCTCTAAATAAGCTGACACTTCTTTGTGTATGGTTTGTCTATGAAGGCTAGGAAAAATTAGAGCAGTAATCTTTTAATCACAGGGGGTTTAATGTAGGTGTTTGTAGATGTACAAAGAGCTATGAATCTGTCCAGGATGACTTGTTTGATATTACGGTGGGCTAATGAAATTTCAAAGTTAACATTCCCCAAATAAAATGGGAAGAAGACACAAGGAGAAAGGAGCAGATTTAAAATTAGAGAATCTTTGTGGTTTATGGGTTCCAGGTTATTTGGAATGGAATGAAAGTTAATGCTACATCCTTTTTTCCATCCTGCCAGCCAGTGTCTGATCCAAGAATGTCTCTTATTTAAAGGGCAGGGCTCCCTCCACTGTTCTTAAATAAAGGCTTTCACTGTCTGAGATCCAGTCCTCCCTGATATTCACAGTAACATTGAAAGAATGCATGAAGATAATTATTTAATGAAAAGAAGTTTTGCATATGATTCCCCTATCATAAGTCTGTTCAAGTCATATGGTTCGATTTACATTTATGCAAATGTGAGAGAATAGAGTAAAATTACCAAAGGAGGAAAGGACCGTGGCATGTCACAAACAAGATGTGCCTATTTGTGTTTATGTTTGCTAATGAAGTTCAGCCAGGACTTGCTCTTTGATTCTGATGTCTCTGTCTGCCATTCCACTTTATGCATTGTAATTAAACCACTTGCCCACACACATACAAGAGGACACCAAGAAATGGCGACTTCAGGTTTTAAAAATGCTATACTGTGACTTGCTTATACAGGACCTATAGTTCAGGCTTTGCAGATTTTAAGTGATACAGCAGACCTGTGGTATGACATTGTGCCTTAGTTTTAATGTAAGCAGAACTCCTGGCTTAAACCAATGGAGGATTTGGCCCAGTAAACATTAGTGTCTAGAATGCCCACTGGAGATGTTTTATCCTAGACTTTCCAAATTGTATTCTGAATAAGAATTAAACATCAGCCCACGCAGAAATCACAGCTGTCTTTCTCCTGTCAAAATTAATCTTTCTCATCACGCTACAGCTGTGGAATTATGCACTAGTGCGAACTGTTAACTGGAAACCATTTCTAGCCAGGGTGCCTCTTCAGAAGTCTTAGTTTTCTAACCTTATGTGTTACCTAATTGAGGAGTACTCACATCTTCATATTTCGCTGGGACTTGTTTTTGTAGATCACAGCTTCAGTATACCTTGTGTTAACAAACACAAGATATATTATTATTCTATATTATTATACAGAATTATCTGACCCTAAATTGGTCCTAAGAACTCTTCAGTAGATTGTTTTGTTTTGTGTGACCTTCTGTGGGGATGGGACTTCTGCTGCCCTCTTCATATAGTGTTTTTTTGTGGTCGTTCATAATATGCTACCTCAGGCTACCGCTACGGATGAGACATGGGACCAAACATTGAGAGTGGAAAATGGATGATTTTTCATGAAATTTGAGTTGCTGCTTGACTAAGGCCTATTGTTCCAGGTTGCTTTTTTAAAATGTTAATTTTCCTTTCAGCAAACTAAGGGCAAAACATGATATTTCATGTCAGGTGACTCACAGCAGTGAACACTGCTCATCTTTTCTGCTTCATTGTACCTCCTTTCAGACTGTTGGAAAAAAAAACCTACCTTCATTTGCTAAATAGTGATAGCATTCCCAACATCTTTATATCAAAATCCAATGTGCTTTAATAACTTGAAGGAACAATATTTTCAAGGCAGGGTTCCTATATTATAGGTAAATAGAGGATGCCTGAGAAGCCATGACAAGCTGCTTCACAGGGTGCCTAAATTGGTTGTCCTTTCACCTTCATCAAGGTCAGAGAAGGGGGATGCAAAATCTTGTCATATGATAGCAAGGGGCAAGAAATGTTTCTGTGAAAGCTAAATTGGCCAAATAAGGTTATACCAACTTTTCAGATCATGGAATCTGTTCTGGGAAAATGAACTATGTAACTTCTGCCAAGCTGGGTGATTTCCCATGTCTAAAAGGTGGTCCTTTGGCCACCTGCGCACACAGTGGGTACAAGTAACAGGCCGACAGACCTTCAACCACAGCAAATAGACTACAGAAGAAAAAAAAAACAAAGCACAGTCTGGTAGACAGTACATTTTGAGAAGGAGCACACATAAATGCAGTAGATGCCCAAAACGAGCTTCAGAGTTGACTATGCGCTTTTGTTATCTCCTGATTTTGGGCTTTATAGCAAGATATATCCAGCAAAATACATACAGGAATGGCTTACCATTTTAATCCCACATCAAGATTCTGCATCATCCTCTAGCTGTAATTCTGAGCCAAGTAATTGTATTTTTTTAAAACATTGGATACTGCCGAAGTGGCATAAAGCACCAAGAAGCATCATCTAAAACCTTTATGTTATATCAAACCGTGTTAAATGACTGCACATACTTAGAAACTCTTGCAAGGGCACATACACATGTAAGTTTCATTAAAAACATCTTGCTCTTCCTCTTCGCAGTTCTTGACTTTTAAAGATATGTCTTTTAGTATCACAAATTCAGCTGTATAGATCTGAAAGATGTATAACTCAGAATTATGGGATGACTGTAAAATAGTTTTGCTATGCATAAAAGCATTTTGGAGGTTAACCTTTATTATCTAGTAATGTATCGAAATAAGAATTAAGTGTTATCTTGTTATGGAATGGGATGAATCAAACTCAACTCCTCTGAAATACCGATTTTCAAAACAGTTACCTTTAAGCTGAGTTTGAAGGTAAAGGTTGTTTCTGCGTATAATGCTTCAATTTATGGCTATATTCCATAGTAAAATATGCATATATCAGAATCACTTTCTCTTGCTTGGGAAGGAAAAAAGTGTTGTTTTCATTATTGCTGAACTTCAAAATGGCTTAAAGAATTTTGTTGGTCCTTTCCAAAGAAACTGAACTTCAGGCAGAGATTAAAGCAGAGGAAATTTCAGCCCAAGGGCAAATGTTTCAGAAAGTTTAAAGTATGTGAAACAGTGAGTTAAGTAGGAAATAGTTTTCAATCCTAACTATAGCCACACTAGTTATAATATATGGCTAAATATAGACTCATGGGTGTGTCTAACTTTCTGAAGGTGTTATCCTCTCTCCTCTGAAACTTGCTTCCAAAATGACCTTTTCAGGGGTATAACTAACTGTATAATATTGCCCATGTTGGAAAATATTAAACTTATTTCCCAGGTGAGCCCAGCCAAGCCCAACTTTGCTTTACAACCAAAATTCCTGTTGAAAAATTCAACCTTTTATCTTTCATGTGGATCCAACTTTATACTTGGGTTCATTTATCTTCAAGCAAATTGCACAATAGCCCTGAATATTTTGTTTATGTGTTAAAGGTTGTCACTTTGGTTATAAAGCTCTGTATAAATATCGGGGTCAATTTGCTAAAAACATTACTTTTGCATCGACTTCAAAATGCCAACCATAATGGTTTGGGCAAGCTGCAGATCCAAACTCCCTTGGACTTGCTGCTTGTGGTTGTGGGAATATGTTGGATCCTTTCAAAATTATTGACTAGTCTGTTTTGTGCATTTTGTGTTTGGATGTAGAGTCTTTGGATTTCTTTTTTGTTTTGTTTGTGGTGATACTGTCATGTCTGATGGCTGGCTGTATATCCCAGAGCTCATACTCTGCTCTTTGGCTTTAATGCAATATACTACTAGGTCACTACATTGAAGTATGATGTTAGTGTCAAGGATGCTGTAATAAACATCTTGCACATATTTCCTTTTGCATATTTAGTGTCTGTAAATGTCTCTCGGAATACATGCTTGCTGGTTTTGAAATTATTTCCCTACAGTTTGATATAAATACTATTTATATACAAAGTTGTTTGAGGTTATCCTTTGCTGTTAATGAAACTTTTCTAATTTTGTTTTAAGAGAGGAAAGAATTGATCTTTCTGAAATTAATTAGGAAATTGGTAGAGCCACTAAAAATGGTAGTTATATATGGCACTTCCTAAGTGCTTGAACTTAAGAGGTAAAAAATAATCTGACGAAACACTAAATGTAATAAAATAGATGGCTGTATTTTTATTTTTGAAACTGAGTGACTGCTGAAGGTGAACCAAATAGAGCAAAAGTATTTGCACTCCTTCCCTTTTTGAAGCTATCATTAATATCACAAAAAAAAAAATCCAACACATTTTTAAACTGAGAATATCCCCTTAAAATACAGGGTTTCCAGCATGCCTGGTGTAAAAAGGGATACTTTCCTGTACTGATTCAGAAAGAGATGTTAAAAATGTATGAAAGGTATTTTAGTGAGACATTTTCACAGGATCTTTTAAAATTATTTTCTCAAATGCTGTTTAACTCCTGTGTTTCTTTAGCATTGGAAACAGTTGATGCCAGGTTACAGTATGTGGGATATCAAATTATTTTGTGCTGACCAGAGGGTCTTTAATTTGGTTTTGCGGGGTGGGGATTATACCAGTGTCTGTTCATATAACTTTAGACTCAGACTGTAAATTAAGATTGGAAAACTGTAATTATTCAGTAATTTATAGACTATTAAAATAGGTTAGAAATGATTATCAAACATAGTGAATAGAGAACACATGCTTAGAAGGGACAAACAGATTCAGCATAATAATGTATTTTTGGCATCATCTATTTTGCAGGCAATTAACAAAATAGGATGTTGCATTTTTGCATATCTCTTGCTCTCCTGAAATAGTCGCTAACCACTTGTTAACCACACTGATTTTTTTTATAGACAAAGTGGTTGCTCATAGCTTCCCCACCAGAAATGTTCGGATTAAGCACACTATTAGATTGCAGCCAGAATAGTCTACAAAACAGGAAGAAAGCCTTGCCTTTCTCTCTGCCTTCTTCCCTCATTTAAGTTGATGTGATAATTCATTACAGATTTTCTCTTTCTTTGACAGAGTGCCTACCGCAGAAATGGGATGACTTTTCTCGCCTGCTAATATGAATGTGGCTGCAGCAACAGGAAAGACAGTGTTATATTAAGGTGATTTTCTTTTCCCGTCCATGGAAGGAGAAAAAATACAAGCTCCGATGTCTCCGTGCACCAGTGAGTGGGCTGGTTTGTTGTGACTATCTGCTGGCTGACTGTCTCTTTTTCCAGCCCCCTCAATCGTTATTCTTGTTTACTAGCTGGAACATTTAGCTAATTAATGGCAGGATGTTTGGGATAGGGTGTAGGTGGACAAGAATGCAGATCAGACAATGCTGAAGTTTGCAGGGGACTAACTGCTGTCAGCCTCTTTCTGAAATGCAATGTCATTTTTATTTAAGTCTTTGGAAGTCTGTATGTTCTCCTAGAGATATATATTTTTTTTTAAAAGCAGGATGAGGCAGAAAGAGGCCAGAGATAGACTGGGTTATATGAGTTTTTCAAGGTTATTAAAAGGTCATGTGTGTTTTCCTGATGATCTTTACTGAAAGCAAAACTGTTTTCCACAATTTTCCACTATTTTCACTATTCCTCCCAACTAATTTTTAACTGTTCAGATAGGGTAATCCAGTTTAATCCAATGAGGAGCTTTTTTTATGAGAGTAATAGCTAGTTCAGATCCAAAGATACTCAGAGAAAAAGTTCAGATTAACTGTACTTTACCAGTTAGAGACTTTTTTTCAGATCCAAGGATAGTCTAAATCAGCCCCAAATTCTAGGTATTTAAGTCTCCTAAGGCTCGAGCCATCAGTGTCTGAAATCAAGGAGAGCCTTTGCAGTGATTTGGCACTGGATTGGACCCCTATTCATAAAAATGCATCCTAAAGTACTTGAATAGCTGTGTCTGTCTCAGTGGTTGTAGGCAAAGGCTTAACGCTATGTACTTGCTCAGCATTTGCTGCAGGAAGCAGATGTTGTCTCTGTTATTGACAAAGACAGCATTACTGTTGGGTTTGGTTAAAGAAGAAATGGGCCTTTTGCCTTTTTTATATTTTCGTTCACGTTGTTTGTTTTCAGATTTATTTTTTAAATCTCAGTCCCTCCTTCTATGTTTCTTCCCCATCCGCTGCTCCTCCAGCCTTTGCTGGCCTCAAAAGCACATTCATTTCTTCCCATAAAAACTGTACAAATATAGAGCTAACCACAATGATGCTTGACCAGAGAAAAGGGCTTCAGCCCATCATCAAGATATACAAGCATGGACTGCTTGTATCCCTGTGGTACCCCTTGGGCCCAGGGGTCTGCTCCAGCCACTCTAAGCCAGCCTTGAAATCTAACTTAAACCCCAAATTAATACAGAGTGCTCAAGATATCATGAGGAGATGATAGCAAAATATCACTTGCATATAGTTCAGCCATCCTCCTCTTTTATGCTTAGTATGTGAGGTCTTAATTTTTACTCGCACTGTATGCTCTTGTTGTCCTTTTAAGTGATTTTGTTTCTCTGCTTTTCTGGACCTGCTTACAAAAACTTTAAAAATACGTATGTATTTTAAATAAACAGAAAAATGCCTCTTCTCTTTACAACCAAAATATTGTGAAAGTGAGCTTTACACATCAAATATTACTGCCATTCATAAATTGCTTTTTTGTTTTACCTGCTTACGCTTCTATTTTCTGGAATCAATTTGTGTGTAAAGGACTAAAAGTAATGTGTACAATGCAGTGTATTAAATGAGGGAGGGAAGTTTTCTGATGTTTCATCTGTACTTCTTGAAATGTATGATTAAACTTTTCTTTTTATCATCACTCTTATTTTTTTTGGCGTCCTTAATCATAGAAAATTATATGCTTGCTGCAAACATCCAGACTTTTTAAAAGGACACCAGCATTTATTGTATTTGGTTTCGATGTGCAGGGATAGAGACAGAAGAAACCGTTTCAGGCACTGGGTACTGGAATCAAAATAGTTTCTGTAGCTGTATCTCTCCCAGATTTTACATTTTAAAATATGCATAAGCAGAAAAAATACTGGCACTTACTTTTTACTGCTCTACTTAAAGTCCCAGAGAATGAAGACTCGACATACATTTCTCTCAGAAATATGACAGATCATGTTTTTGTTGGTCTGCTGTGTGTTTGTCTATCTTGAACAGTCTGACAGGCAATTATTTATAAAATCTGGGTTTGCCCAGTAAACCCATATAATAACCTTACACTTCTCTACACAAGTCAGAGAGCTGAATTTAGAGTAGAACAAGGTGGGTTATGTGTCCCTATCTTGAACTAACCGAGTTTATTCTTCTTTTGGAAAGTAATCACTTTTTTCATTCATCTTCAGGGTTGTTCAATTTAAAACACAAAAGTGACCACTAGGACTTGGGCTGCATACAGAGTGTGTCCTACCACCACTTCAGGTGCTGCAGAAACAGAAGTGTATGTTTAAGCTGGTACTACGCATTTTATCTTAAACTTTTTTTCTGTACTGCAAGTATAAAAAACAGTTTGAGATTCAGTTAATGACTGTGTACAAATAACTTTGTGCTTGTGTGATTTCAACTTGAAGAACCTTAGCAAGGATTTGTAGTAACTGAGTCAGTTTATGCTGATTGTTTAACATCAGTTACCTGAAGAAGAGAAACGGAACCAATTTCAGTAGGAGTAAGACTGTGTAACAGTTAAAGGTGTGGGGGTTCTGCTCCATGTCCTTGCTGTATGGTTATACTACCTAGCTTTTCAGTTTCCTAATCCAGCCATCCACAAAAGAGGGATGAAAATTCAGCTTGAAAATTGTCAGAGGTGACAGAGCCACAGCACAGATTTCTAATGGGGCTTTGTCTCATTTCCTGGCCTGTCCTTCCTCAGGGTTTCTTCTGAGAAAATAAAGCCCTTTAAAACACTCCTGCCTTCATCTGGAAATCAGGAGAAGCTGACAGTGCTCCATATTTCTCCAGAGACACTGAGGACCTTGCAGAATTTGCTCCCCTGGGTTTCCACAGTACACTTCTCTTTGTCAAGTGAAGATATCACTGGCAGGGGGGAGGTGTTTTCAGGCACTTCTTGAATTCAGATGAACCTTAGTGTTGTATTAACATTCTGCCATCAGCCGTGCCTAGATCTCATAAAATGTTTTATAGCTTCCCGTCTAGCTCATACAGAATGTTTCATAGTACATAAACACTTCTACTAATAATTCAAGAATAAATAGATAGTGACATTAGTCACAAGTCTAACCTCTAGCTGAAACTTACACAGTTACAGGGTGTGCTTTTTTCCTTGCCTAAATGAATCATCTTGTCCAAGGTTAGACTTTTTATACCTCTACTATATATCTACACTGAGTGGTGGTGCAGCTAGGGAAACACAGTGGTGGCATGCATTAAATCCAGGGCTTTATTCGGAGGGCAGAGAGCCAGTGCAAAGCAACAGAGCCATCCCCGAAGGAATTGAATGTAAATTTGACGGTTTAAATAAGGCCAGATGCCTTAAAAAATTATTTTGAAAGCTGTATCTTTAATGTAGCTCTTAACTTGTTTTTTTCTGCTTCAGATAATGATGCTGCCTTTTACAAAGTAATAAGAAAAAATAGCTCTCATCTATTGTGGGGAGACAAAAATCAGATCCTTTGACTTCTATAAATCACTAAAATGTTGGCAACTGAAACAAACTTTTAGAAGGCAGATGCCTGAAAATTTGAAGGAAACCTCCATATTTTACTGTTAAGAGCTTTTTAACTGGCTAGAGAGCACTCTAAAACACTACATTAATAGCCATTCTCAGTAATCAAGCTCCACTATACTTATATACTATTTTTCCTAAACAAGATAGATTAGTAGTGTAAGAGAGCTGGAAAGATAAATAAAGAAAATCAAGAACTAAAATTATAATAATACAGTTTCATTTTACATTTTATAGCTCTCTTCTTTATTTGTGATTGATCATTTATCTTAATTCCTATCACACAGAAATATTGGCACAAGAGTCTTGTACCAATATCTGTGCATTTCTGGACTAGCCTTCATCCAGATGCTTCGCAGATTTTCTTACTGATTTTGTGATCTGTCAATCTTTAGTACTTGTATGACTTTGATTACTGTAATATCTTAGTGCCTCACAGTCTTCCATATATTTATGCCTGCGGCACTGCTTTGAAATAATAATGTGTTGTTATCTCCATTTCTTCTGAGGCACAGAAAGGATAAATGACTGGCCCCATGTTGGGAAACTTGGGACGGTTCAGAAAACCTGGATTTCCCAAATCCATACTGATGCTCTCAGCTCTAAGTCATCTGCCCTCTGCAGTGAAAATGATAGATGTATCAGAAAGCACATAACCCAGCCCCACAGGTTAGGAAAGCGGCAAAAGCAGTATCCAACTGGATCTGCAAGAGGAATTTGGGGAGGAAGAATGCAGTCACTCGATTTGGACCTAATCCAGGACTCAGTGCTTTAAAACCTTCAGGCTGAAATATGCCACAGCCACTTAATGACCTGGTGCAGAAACATAAATGCTACATTTCCACCAAAACATGGACTGTGGGATACTTTTCTTCCTCTCCACACCCTGCCGAATTTCTGCATCAGAAATCACCACGAGGGATGTATCCTGGCAGTGCCAGAGTGTTCTTACCTTCATCTCCCAACCTTCCTTTGCACAGTGCATCAGAGCTGCTAGAAGCAATAGGAGACATACAATTAAGAAATGTAGATGCCCTCTTTTAAATGGGGCAGCAGCTGTGATGGGTGTTCACAAAGGTAAACTGTTAACTTTTAATAAATGAACTGAATCTGATTCTAATAAGGTGCAGCTGAATTGTGGTGGCTGATCTCCTCTACGAGTCCGGGAAGAAGAGGTGGTGTAAATATCAGAAGCCATAGCAGGATTCAGAAAGTCAAAAGTCAATAAAGCAAGTTGGCTCAAACCAGTTCTGTTTAGCTCTCATTTCCATAAGTATTTAATTAATCTGCAAAATAAAAAAAAACAACAAAGAAACTATTGCATTTCTTGTACTGACATGACTTCTTCAGATCTGGAAATGAAATGGCAGCAACTGTGTGTCAAGCCTAGGTGAAAACAAATCTCTTAAAGAAGGAGAATGAAGGTTTTTGTAAGAGCAAGGCCCCGCTGAGCTCCTCTCTCTGAGCTCCCTTGCTCAGAAGATCAGTGCTGAAATCTGCTGCACGTGCACAAATTTTGTTGTAGCTTTAAGTAAATAATTTCAGTAAATTAGATGTGATGTGTCTATCTTTCTCCATGTCACTCCACCCTTACTTTAGTATTTAAATAATTTATATTCCTCTGTTTTGGAATATTATCAACATTTTGCTAGTCCTAAATTTTCCCTATTCAGCAGATTTTGGTGTAGGCAGAACACAAATATATCGAAGCAATTATTAAGGGGTGCTTTTAGCACCTGGGAAAGGGTGTCTTTGAAAGTCAGTTTCTCTATGGAAGGTGCTGCTCTGATTCATCTTCTCTGGGATGGTGGCAAAATTGATATATATCTTCTGTAGGGCTTGAATTTGTACAACAGTTGAGATAAACCTTGAGGTCTCTCTCAAACTCATATGCAGCCCATTTTTTTCCTCAGTGTGCAAATCAGGTATGAGCTCAAGAGATAAAACATGACACATTCTTCCACTGGAAGATCAAGAACCACTGAATATTCCAAGGTAAGATAACCTTAGTCTGACCGAATTCAGCTACATATCACTTGGGGAAAAAAGAAAAAAAAGGTGTTTCTTTTTTCCTATTTGACAGTTACTTCATGATTTTTTCCACACTTTGGTGATCAGAACTTTGTGTTCATATGTTTGGCCATGAAATGGTTAAGAATAGTTATTTCTCATATGTGATCAAGTTTCTCAGTCAATACAGTGGTAAATGTGTCTCTTTTTCTACAGCTGTTGTGTTTAAACAGTGGGTTAAGAACCTGTCCCATTTTAAGGGCAAATGTATTTTGGAGCAGAGTCTGAGTCAGTTGCTTTTATTCATGGTACCCAAGTAGGTGTAGCCATCAAACCTAGTCCACATTGCTCTGTTGGTGTGTCCAGAACAGAGAGAGTGTATTAATATTGTCCCTGCAACGAAATCATCCGAGAAATGACCAAAGCTCCATCCACACATGGATTAATAGGAGCAGCGTGAAGATTATTCCACCAGGACTCTGGAGTTTAAGTATCTGTTAGTCCCTATGCTTAAAACTCTGTTAAACCCCTTTATACAGGTGTCTGTGAAGCAGAGTACTATGTTCCCATGTCTGTTAATGTGGTTTAGGTAGGAAATTAATGTTGCCTTGGGAAAAAATGCATGCTACTGTCAAGCTAAATGAGAAAAAGCAAAGGCTTTGCTATGGACTGTGAGGGGAGGTATGGGTATGCTTGCAGGTTAAAATCTTACTAATTTTATGGTAGTAAAAATAAAATTTGATATAAGCATCCAAATTTTTGAAATTTTGGCCAAAGTCCAAACCTTCTCAGTGTTTGCCATGGTTAGTTTTCATAAGTGTGTTGAAGTCGGGCTTGTAGATGATGCTGGATTCATTTTTAGTTTGTTGAGGCTTGTTTTATTTGCGCTTTGGTATGTATTTGTGGTGCACAGTCTGAAGGGATTTTGCATTATAGTTGGTTTCTTTGGTGGTCCTAAAAGCAATGCAAAATTAATGCAGCACTTAAGGATCCTGTTATTAAAACTTTATTCATAGGTGAGCCAGCAAAGCATAGAAAATTTACGTATATGCATATATATTCAATAAATATGAATATACATATTCATATTTTTTCAGAAAGATTGAATTCCAAACAACAGC